CAACAACAGCAGCAACAACAACAGCAGCAACAACAGCAGCATCAGCAGCAACAACAACAGCAGCAACATGAGCAGCAACAGGAACACCAACAGCAACAACAGGAGCAGTACATGTAACAACATACCAATGAGCAAGACATTGTTGAGTTGTTCTACTCCATCAATCTGGAAACAAAAAGAATGAAAGATTTATTCAAAGAGGGATCACTTTCACTAGCTACAGTGACAGCTAGAAAATGCTATTTTGAAATTTATAAAGTGTCCCTTAAAAGAATTTCAAAGTTCAGGAGTTAAATCATAGAAATGATTTGGGGCTCCATCTACTTGCTAAGAAGAGCTGAGTCAAAACTAAGACCTTGTTTGAGCAGACATGCAAGAAAAGTAAATATTATGATGACTAACTGACCTTGGCAAGAAGCTGATTGACAACTGAATCTTGTACTCCAGTTCCACCAGTCTAAAGAGGAAAAAAAGGAAACAGTCAATCATGTAATCATGTAAGCATGTACCTAGAGATAAGTGAGAATCATTTCATGCATTAGGCACTCATTCATTCATACATAAATGTATGCATCTGTCTATCCATCTGTCCATCCACTCATTCATATTTATCCATTTCATTGTACTTTCACTTACACTGTAACTGTAACGAGACTTGCAAACAGCATCAAACTCATCAAAGATGATCAGATGTAAAGCACTGTTATCGCCAAACTAAAAGACAAGATAAAGATTCAATCAAATTGTACTATGTGCTGTAATATGAACGTGTGATATCTAAAGCATCACAATCTACCATTCTATCAAATATCCCTAACTGGAGTGGAGCCCTTTATCTACAAGTCGGTGCTGATAGAAAAAAGTTAGGAAATCAAGGATTACCAAACGGCAAAGAAATAAAACACTCAAGGAACATCACTTTAATATACAGACCTTTTTCTGTTCTTCTTCTGCTTCTGCAAACAGTTTTCTGTACAGAAATGAGCAAAGGAATCAACAAAAACAACAACGACATTTACAACATCTACAGCCATGACAATGACACCCTGTTTATCAGGCAGTAAAAAGTTACTGCAATTTTCAATATTTCGATAACTAAGAAGTTACAAGCTGCATATTGAAATTTGCTTTTTCGCTGCCATCAATCAAAAATAATCAGTCAGTACATATAAGTTATATGTCTTTGACTGGCGGCAGTAAGAAAAAATTTCACAACAAGCTGTTAAAATGGCTGAGTTTGCAGAATGTCCAAAACCACAGTAATGATGCTCAACAAATGAGAATACCAAGCTGATTTTCAATGTTCTTGATAAAAATGTACCTGATGTTTGCCTCAGATTCTCCAACAAACTTGTTTAGAACCTCTGATACAAAAATGGAGAGCATTTTAACATGCGTATAATCAGATTCAGAAAAAAATCTATTGTCATTCATTTTTTAATTCTAAACCCATAATGTTGTTTACCTGGTCCACTAATGATCTTTGGATCTCTTGTGTTCAACATTTTTCCAATCTGTCTTGCCATGAGAGTCTTACCAGTACCTACACAGAACAAAATACTAAATCAAAAACTGGATGGTTCTAAAAAGTGGTTATTAACTTGGTATATATAAAGTGGTATATTCCTGTGGCAAGGGTAACATGCTAAGTTCAAATTTGATTCATGAGTTAGCCTTGACTATGATCAGCCCAAAGGTGGTTTCACAAAGGTGTGTGTGTGGGGAGGGGGGGGGGGGGGGGGGGTAAGTTTGCGAACTTTAGACACTAACTTTCAAGGCATTACTTTTTTGGAAACAAAGCTCGGCAAATTTGTAACCATACTGTCTGTGACTATACCATATTATATTGTACCCGTAACTATGCGTTTTTGATTGGATAAATTGTNGGGGGAGATGTCCCTAAAATTTTTGATTATTAATTTCTGGACTGATATAAAAGAAAAAGTAAAATTGTATTAGGAATTAGTTTAAAAGAATCAAAACATGTTAAAATTCCCTTATAAACATTGAGTGAATAAAAAATGTTTGTTGTTAATTTTCGTTTTTTTATATATATAATCCTGGGTGACCCCCCCCCCTCCCCCTCAATTTCTTGTACCTCACTACACCCCTGTGGTTTCAGGTACTGCTGGTCCTAAATACGAGCTGATGTTGTTAGATATGTGTCAAGTTAGGATTTTTCTCCACTAATCTGGTCTTCCTCCATACTTGTATGTGAAAATCAGTATGTGAGTTGAGTGTTGTATGAATAGTAGTGGCAGTAGTGCAAGTGTGTGGAGTGAGCATTGAGCAAGAGCTACCATGGGAAGATATCGTAAAGTTTTAATTAAGCAGATTGCATTCTGTAATAAATAAAAAGCATTACCCGATTACCTGGTGGTCCATGGAGGAGTATACCTTTGACGTGACGTAAACCTAAAAAAGATATTAAGTATACCAATATTATTATAAGATTATTATATGCATTTTCACTAAGCATTTTAAAATTCCTGTCTATATCTGACATTTATTGGTCACACACAATGCAGTGATTGGCCACAGGATTCGGCAAGACATGTTCATCTAGACCATCTGACTAGCTAGTCTAAAGTCTTTGACTCTATTTCCAGTGTTTTAGAGAAACTATGTCTAAATCGTCCAATGAAAATACATTCATAATAGTTTGTTTTATCAACCATAAATTTAAATAAATATGATCATCCGAGCTTTTGGTCTACTCAGCCATCCTCAGGGAAATGAAAAACGTTACAATTGGCATATGTGCGTGCTTATTAAATTAAGTGACATTTCTGCTTAGCCAAATTGCCATGCAAAGTGAAAAGTTTTGGTTTCATCTGCATCATACATACATTCATACATTCATATATCTTGTTTTAGAATCCTGATTAAAATAGGTCAATCAAATGATTGCATCTGTTTTAGACACTCACCCATCTTGTTGACAATGTCTGCAGGAAATAACCTGGTTGCAAATGCACGCCGCACAATGTTTGAGAACTCCTAGAATTCAATACGGAAAAATAGACCTAATCAATGCTTAACTTCTGATTTGATTGTGGATGAACCTAGACAATATCCAATACTTTGTGCCACAAAGACGAAAAATAAAATAAATATAACAAATAATGTGAGTTAATGTTCAGTGGATTTCACAGAGTGGCTCTTCTTCCACTAGATTCAAATTAGAATTTAGGAGTTGATTTTTGTTAAGGGAGGAAAATCGGCGAACCTGGAGAAAAACCCTTGAAAGCACAGGAGAGAACCAGCAAGCAACTCTACTAACATATGACCCTTGGCCTGGCAGGAGCTCTTACTGCTACGCCACCCAAGCTTTCCACAAATGCAAATATTGAAAAAGATGGCCGAGGGTCTACTACTCTTTCCTCTACGGTACACTGTAGATGCATGAGTGTTTTCAAAGAAAAGAATAACATATCGAAAGTTGCAATTAGAAGTAAAAACAAAGAAAAATAATAATATGAGCTCGATTTTTGTTAATAGATAAATATATAGACTTAAGAACTTTATAATATAAACTTACTTTGTCCAGTCCTCCAATGCCAAGTTTAGTAAAATCCCAGTCCTTGCTGATAATAGACTGGTGGGTGGCCTTGCTGCAAAACACAATTACAGTAATTAACAATATTAATATTTAATAAATATTGGGCATATTGTTTTCCCAGTTCAGATCTGGCATGAGTCATTCTCTTGAGTATAATATAAGGTTCTTTGTTTGAATTGTATCTATGTCTTCTTGTGAACAAACATTAAACGAGGAAATCATACTATGGGGAATCAGATCTGGCACGAGTCATTCTTTTGAGTATATAATATAAGGTTCTTTGTTTGACTTGTATCTATGTCTTCTTGTGAGCAAACATTAAACAAGGAAATCATACTCTGGGGAATGACAAATGGTTTGAAATGGAAACTAAAATATGCCCAAGATAAAGGTCTCCTGTCCCATAACTGGTTTAATTGGTTAAGGGAAGCACGGGTGGCGTGCGCTGCTAATGCGCAGCCTCTCACCAATGCGGCCTGAGTTCGAGTCCTGCCGATCTTGATGTCCTATGTGAGTAGAGTTGTTTGTTGGTTCTCTCCTGTGCTTCAAGGGTTTTTCTCCGCGTTCTCCAGTTTTAATCCCTCCTCAAAAATCAACTTCTAAATTCTAATTCGATCTTTGGGCTTTCACTTAGTTTGAAGCCTAGCTCTGTTGTGATTGTCCCACGCTGTGATACAACAGCAAAAAGCTTTGTAGATTTTTTTTTCAATTAATAAATGTTTGATTTTTTGGCACTTTTGTTGCATGTTGCACTTCCATACTACTACCTACAGGAATGTATTCATCAGTCCTACTAACCCTTTTGCGCTTCCAGTTAAATTGAGAACAGATCCCTGAAGAAAATACAAAATTCAGAGTTAAAAATTGTTCCCACAAGTTCAGGGTAAAATGAGAAACTGCACAACATACATCTGCTTTCTCAAAAATCACTTGAGTGTTCCTTGTGATTACTCCTGCAGATACCTATGGAGGAAAATTGATAAGACTATCAAGAAATGGTCATGTGTGGTGATCCTTCCATCCATTCATCCCATCCTTCTTCCATTCATTTATCCCATCCATAAATAAATCTCTTTATTTAAGCGTCTAGTCGTCTAGCGCTTTCACACTAATTAGGGACACTTTTTGCTCACACGCACTACCACTACATTTAATATTCTATGCAAACATCGCTCAACTCACATGTTGATTTTTACAGAGGGAGGAAACCGGAGAACCCGGAGAAAACCCTCGTAGCATAGGAGAAAACAACACATCAAACAAACTCAATTCACATGTGGCAACCACAGGGCTCAAAACCAGTGAACCAACCCGTTGGAATTACAGCGGTGAAAGATGACGTGTTAGCTGCGAACGCCATCCATGCCACTCATCTATCTCATCCTTCCCATTCATTTTTCACTGGAATAATTGGTAAAGCTGTATATAAATTCCCATTCATTAGCTAAGGTGACTTACATTTGTGGCTGCTTTAGAAGACGGTCCCAACAACCCAACATCGATAACTATGGGGAAAAAATACAAGCACAGTCATCAATGATGTAGAAAAACATTTGCATGACACATGAAGAATTATTGGTCCTACCTGAAAGACTTTTGACCTCCATGAGTAACAGCTTCTTATCATGGAAACTAAATACAGCCTGAAAATATTATTCCAAAGTATGATCATTTGTTTTGAGACTCAATCTGTAAAACTGGGCATTAGATATTGAAACTTTTAGCTAAAACTTGTGTGCAACTGCGTTATGATACAAGTTTCACAGGGCCCAGTTGTTCAAAGCCCGATTAATGCTAATCCTGGGTTAACTCTTAATAAGACCTATAGAGTTAATCCTGGATTAATGCTTATCCAGCTTTGAACAACCCGGCCCAGGGGTGTTAAACCTAACCCCTGATACAATACTTTCAGTATTGATTCTACATAAAGTGACTAGCTGAATGACAAAATATTTCTTCATTTGAATGCTACACTTTAAGTTATGAAGGTTTATACTTCTAAAATGTTAATGACTGTGATACCAGTAAGTACAAGTTTAGGTACTATATGCGCAGCTATTTCATTGACTTGACCTGGAATCATGTTCCTCCTTGGCCCAATACTTTTAAATTTTAATAAATAATTTATCCACAGCTATATCAGTTCATAAATACCTTCTGATCAATTGAAAAGGCATGATCATAAAAGAAATTTGTCAATTCTTCTGACATTTCATCAGTGTTGTAAGGATCTTGAGACGGCCTGAAGTAGAAAGTATTGGTTAAATTGTTGCTAGTATATTCAAATCACAGATATCTCATCAGGGAGTAAATTTTTAAAAGGGTCCCCCTACTCCCTCAGGAACTTCCAATTTTCTTCCATACAAACTCTGTAATGTTGTTCTTTCTTTGTCCCCTCTCCCCTCCAGAATTTCCAATTTCCTCCACAGTTGAGGTATGGATATTTCTGTAACTACACATTAAGAGAACAAACAGTACAATGTTCTTCCTGACTGTCTAGTATAAAGAGCTACTTTTCTAACTCATATAATATATTTCAGTGACAAGCTGGTAGTTTAGCTCTCAACATAAGGGAAGCACGGGTGCATTCCCTGCTAATATGCTGCCTTTCACTAACGCTGCCCGAGTTCGAGTCCTACTGATCTCAATGTTGTATGTGAGTAGAGTTTTTTGTTGGTTCTCTCCTATGCTTTGAGCATTTTTCTCCAGGTTCTCTGGTTTTCCTCCCTCCTCAATAATCAACTACTAAATTCTAATTCGATCTAGAGCTTTCACCTAGTTGGAGCCTAGATCTTTTGTGATTGCCCCACGCTGTGATACAACAGCTCAATAAATATATGCAGTCCGTAAATCACATTAATTGTACATTTTCGGTGGTCATACTGATAATGGCTACAATGTATGTTATTTTGCATTTCTACACAACAGATATATTGTATTGATCACAATTACCTGGATTTTTGTAAAAAATCAGCTTCAAAGGTGATACTTGAGAGAAAAGAGCTCTCGTCAAATCTGTATGGAATGACTGGAAGTGAAAGACATTGTGTAATTAGCTTTAACAGGTCTTTTTTTTTTTTTGTTGTACAGCAATTTGGTAATATTTTATTGTCACTTATTATTACTTTGCTTGACTAATAAGTTAGTGCAAGCTAATGAAGCACTTCTTTTAATGATCACTTCAAGTGTTTTCCCAGTTTTCGTCCTACATAAAAATCAACTTCTAAAATGCAATGACGACTCAGTGGAAGTGAAAGTAACATACTCTGTAAAAGAAGAAAAGATCAAGACTCCACTTATATCAGGTTACTAAAATATAAGATGGTGGGAATCTTGGAATTCAAGAAAATTGTCATAAGTTTTTTTGGCACATGAAAACCCTTTATTAAATAAGGGGAATTTCATATCATTTTTGATGGTCAAGAATCTTATACATTCTGTGTACTATTAAAAAGATCAAGAATCCACTTGGATCAAGTTACAGAAATATGAGATGGTATGACTCTTGAGATTCAGTGAAATCCCTGTGAGACCCTGATTTTGAAGGAACCATTGCTTTACCTAGTAGTATAGGGAATGGGGGTTCCAGCGCAATCTCAACACGGGCAAGACCCGTGTCAAAAATCCACCTACGGACAATCCCCACTCCAAGTGTGGTTGGGGGCAACAGCGCAAATATGTTAGTCTATATATGGAGTGCGAAGAATGTAAGAGAACTTTTAAGAAAGAA